TCAGAACCGAGCCCGTGCCGCCGGACGAGGCCGACAACTGGCTGATCAGCGACGACGCCGCGGCGGCGGCGTTTGCGGCGCTGCTCGGCGGCGTAGACGCGCCGGACCTCGTCGCCGACGTGCTGGCCGCGCTTCTGGAGCGCATGCGGGACGTGATGACACTGGACCTGGCTGCCGTGGGCGTGGCGCCACCGCTGTCGGCCGGCGACGCGCTGCGCGCCTGGGAGCAGGAACGCGGCGCGCGGCGCCTCGCCTTCCGCCGCGGCCTGCTGACGCTGCGCACGCTGGCCGCGCTGGCCGAGTCGGAGCAGGCGCAGCGTGGGCTGCAGGACGTCGACCGCCTGCTGCCCGTGATCGGTGCGCTGCTCGATGCGTTCGCGGCGGAGGCGGCTGAGCCGGGCTTGTTGCGTGAGGAGACGGCTTGCCTGGCGCTGGGCGTGCTGGCGGGCGCGCTGGCCGGCGAGGCCAGCACGTCGGCCGTGTGGGCGGCTGCGCGCCGCCTCCTACCGACGCTCGAGCGGCTGACTGCAGAGGCCGGCGCCGAGCGCGTGCGAGACATGGCCGCCGACGTGCGCGAGCTCATCCTCACCAACGGCGTGGTGGACCGGCACACGGTGACGGCCGAGCGGTACGGTGCGCGGCGCGGGGCGGCCGATCCGCGCACGGCCGGGACGGGCCAGCAGGGCCGGCCCGGCGGCGACCAGAGCCGAGCAGAGCCGCCGACGCCCCTCGCCGGTCTCGACGATCGGTTATGTTTTGCTCGGACGCGGGAAAGCAGGCCGCCGCCGTCGCCGGGTATCCCCGGCCCGCAGTCCCGAGCGGAGCCTCGTGCTGTCCTTGACGCGCCGCCGCCGCCGCCGTTGCCGCCGCCGCCGCTGCCGCCGCAGCCGGGCTCTGCCCAGAGCGAGCCGGAACGCGAACCGCCGCCGGCCGCCGAGCTGACCTACCAGCGCGCCATGTACGACCTGGTGGACCCGCTGCTGCCGGTGCGCGCGCACGCGCTAATCGCGCTCAGCCAGCTGTTGGAGCGCCGAGACCCGGAGACGTGGCGCCACCGTCGCCAGCTGCTGCACGTGTTCCAGGTACGTACGGCGGCACGGACGAGCGTGAGGGGCGTGTTCGGATGGGCACTGATCATTGAGTGGAGTCAAGAGGCCCGGCGCCGGTAAGGGGCTGTTTCGGTTCAAATGAAGCGCATGCGGGTTGACGGATTCCGAGCGTGAAATGTGATCATTTGGCACTTGCGTTTTGTGGTCGTTGGATCGCGGCACGCCTGGCCGCGATCACCCGCTCTTTGATTTGTAAGGTTAGCACATGACAAACTGGACATTCCAGTTGAACGTTCTTTTGTTCGTGCCGATACCAGTCGACGAGCTGAATGGTGCTGCGTTATCTGGCTGAACGTCCCGCACACACACAGACAACGCGCGCATACTTTGTGGGCCGAGCGTACAGTACCACACCCAACGACCCGCCCGCACGGCACACACATGCACACGGAGAACCCGATGCACCGGCGAACCTCTGTGGCTGCGCCGGTGACGCCGGCGCGCTCTGACGGCCGCCTGGCGCCGGCGCCGCAGGAGAAGCTGTCCGACGACGACTCTTACGTGTACCTGGCGGCGGTGCGCGGCCTGGCGTGCCTGGCCGACCTCTGCACGGACCAGGTGGTGGCCGGCCTGTGCCAGCAGTACACGGCCGCCGAGCGCGACCCAGACACCCGGCTCAAGCTTGGCGAGGCCATCGTGCTGATGGTCCGCAACCTCGGTGAGACGCGCACTGGGCCGGGGTACCGGCGGTGAGCGGGTGGTCGAGGGCAGGTGTGGAAGGCAAGCTGGAGTCGACGCGTCTTAGGAATGGGCTGTCGTGGAAAAGATCGGAGGAAAGGAAGACAAATTTGTGGATGTTGCGGCTTGCCAGCGTTTATGTTGCAGTGGTTTGTGAGCTGATGAATTCATTTTCGGTATATTTGGCACGTTCTTTTTGGATCGCAAAACCAATTTTCGCGCAACATTGTCGTGAAGAAGTATTCCCTCGTCTCTATCCTCTTGCGGCCTAAGCACTTGTACAGTGGACTGAATTACTGTCGTGGCAAATCGTATGAGAGCGTGGAGTAGGTACCTATTTGTATGTGCAATGATATGTTAATGCACGAATTCCACTTACGTCGAAGCCTAGTAACGTAGGCTTTGGCTCGTAAACTTCAGTGAGGATCATCATCTCCAAATGTTCGCGGCACGCATGTCGGTAAAGTTTTGAACGGCACGGCGAGCTCTTGCGGTTGGAATTTGGAATTGACATGGCATCGGGAGATCCGTGGGCGGCGACGTAAGTCTTATAAATGGTGATGTCTGTGCCTGTCTTGACCCTCTTGTGAGTGGAATGGTCAGAATAATTGACTTCCTGTGTGCCGTAGGTGACCCAGATGCCCTTTCTGTTGGCGTGTACGATGATGTATAGTCCCGTGCACTCATTTCAGGGTACACTTAAATAGCCGCAGGCCGCGCCCTTACCCATGTCTAGCACATCCTGCAGCGAACCCATCGTGGCCACGCCGACAGTTGCCCGGCGGCAGTCGCCGGCGGGTCAGACGGCGGTCCTCGTCCGGTGCGGAGGGCTGCGAGCCCGGCGCCGGCGGCTCCGTGACCTGTCGACGCGCCCCGTGACCTGCCGACGTGTCCCCGTGACCTGCCGACGTGTCCCCAGGCGACATGGCGCCCCGGTACCGGGAGCGGCTGCTCGGCACCTTCCTGGCCGGCTGCCGGGATGGCGACCACCTGCTGCGCGCCTCCAGCCTCTCCAGCCTGGCCGAGGTGTGCCGCCTGCTGCGTTTCTCGCTGGCCGGCGCCGTGCACGAGGTGGGTGGGCTGCCGCGGCGGCGTTCCGCGGGTCTTGCCGGTCGCTGGCCGGTACTGTGCACGGGGAGGGGGGTGCTGCGGCGGCATTCCGCACGCGGTCTTGCCAGTGCGGGGTGGAGCGTGTGAAAGGCTCCGCCGGCTCGTGGAGGTTGGAGGTTCGTGATGTACGGTGTGGTGTTGCGTGACAGTCTGTGACGTGTGATGTGATGTGATGCTGACAACGGCGGAGTTGGTCGGGAAGCATTCCGCACAGCGATCCTTCACAGGACTTGCTGTGGGTTTTTTGAGACACATGGTCCTGGGGTCATTGGAGCTTAATGAGTGTTACGCCAGGCGTCATGGGTGTAGCTCAGCAATCAACACGCTGTGAGTCAGTGCAGGAAATGACTGAATGTACCGAA